GGAGGGGCAGCTGTAGGGCTGTCCTCTCCCCTGGCAGGCAGGATCCCCAGACCAGCAGCAGAGACAGCCAATCAGAGCTGGCCCTGCAACGCTCCTCCCCTCTGGCACAGGGCTTTCCCAGGCGATTGCAAGCTGGGCGCAGAAGCACATGAAGAATGCAAATAGCCCCGCCTCATTTCCTACCATGTCACTGCTGCATCACCACTGGCTCACCTCGTCCACCCACTGCATCTCAGCGGCCATTATTTTTCCTCAAACAGTCACAGCACACCTCTGAGTTCTCCACAGCACACAGTTTAAGAAACAAGGGCACAAGAGGTTGTTGCCCTAGGACTCATCAATTCAAAAGGGCCATGGCTCCCAGCCACAGCTCCTTTAAAATCACTGCTGGAGCGTCATGCGCGCTCAGGCACTGAACAACTCTAAGAGCTGGGATGGAGGGAAGAGGAGTGTGAGGGTGCGCAGCACACTCCAAGCGGTGCTGAGGACTGGCTTCCTCCGCCCCACTCCTTCTGACTGAGCTGTCCCCACCCCCACCTTGCCCCTGCCCCCCCGAATAATGGAACAATACCAAAGTCAATGGAGCCCCAGCCACTACACCAGAGAGTTAGGCCAGGATGTGTGCTGCAAAAAGCATTAACATCCATCCACCTTCTGGCACCGAGCAGCCAAAAAACCTGCTTGTGTGTATGGCTTTGTTTAGCAGGCCAGTACGGGGGCCCATAATATGTTCTCTTTATATTTATCCAAGCTTATGCAATGGCCAATCTATACCTTTTTGGTGTGTTCAGATACAGGTGCAGCAACAAAGGTGACCACAAGCGATGCAGAGTGGATATTTGTTCATATTTTCCCTATGCTGAACTGCTGCTGTTACTGGGCCAAACCACACCAGTCCTTACTCAAGCTCTATCATTAGTGAAGTCAATGCAGCCCTTGCCAAATGACCCAAGTTACATACTGCTTGGAAAGGCAAAGGAGGAGAGGAACGATACATGGAAACCCACTTGGCCCTCATTAAAAGTCAACGGGAGCTGTGAGGAACATTCCTTATGGCATGGACTGTTTTGTTCTGAGTTCATACTGTGTTGTGCCTAGTACAATGGAGTGCTGCTCCATGACTGTGGCTCCTTGGTGCTACCTTACTAATACCAAATGCAGAATACAATAGCCCTAATTTATTGGGCATCATGGTGTAGCACCTAAAGCACTGGACTGGGAGTCAGGAGACAAATTCTTTTCCAGTGTTGGCCTCTGATCTACTGGGTACCCTTAGCAGAGTCATATGTATAATGAGGATAAAAACAATGCTGTCCTTTGTATTTTCTTCTAATTGGTTTCTATGGTTTCATAAATTTAATAACCCTTAGCTGTGATATACCACAGCTCAAAGCACTTTACAAATTGCTGTCCCTCAAAAGAATTACATTATATTAATACAACAGCTTAATACTTCTGCTTATACTTCAACCCTCATTTTCTCTCTCTCTCTCTCTAATTAGCATACATCACAAAGCATTTCTCAGCACTCCCAGCACAAAGGACCTGCATTGTTGTAAAATAAACTGCAGTTCACAGATGATCAGATTTCACTCACTGAGTGACCTTTACAAGGGGAGGGGAACAAACTTTTTATTGGGTTTAAATGAGTAGCACATGGGAGGGACAGAGAAAGGTATGTTCTGTTCAAGTCACAATTTCTCAGAGTAACAAAAAAGACCAGGAAGGAGGCACGTGAACAATTTCAGTTAATCCTTGTGGCACAAGACATTTGCTCTTTCAAGTATTCCTGTTACACAGAAGGCAACATGAGTAACTAGATGGACAGCACATTCTTCAACTGAGAGAGTGAACTCATGATAGTCAACTCCAGGAGTTTTAGAGTTAGAGTAATGCCAATGCTCATTGGGAATTTTCCCATGGAAGAATTCCTTGGCTCCATGCCAGGGAGCATTCTACTGCTGTTCCTTCTTTAGCATACAGTGCACAAATATCCAGCTTGCTCCGTCTTACCTTATCTAAGCCAATGGTTCCCAGCCTTTTTGATACGAGGGACCCAGCAAACCCATTCACAAACTTTTGGCAGACTGGTAATATTTGCATATTTGTTGTTTGCATAATGAATATACAAATATTCAAATAAAATGTTACTGATCCACAAAAAGCCCAGCCTCCAGAGTCCCCCAGTGCCAGCCCTAACCCTTAGAGCCACTCATCCCTCCACTACTTTCCAGTGCCAGCCACTGACCCCAGCATCCCCCG